CAAAACAAACTTGGTTAAACTGACTGAAAAGCTGACAGCAAACAATACTACTAACTCAAAGAAACCAACCAACCTACCTAAATAAGACAAAGGGGAAACATAAATAGTGGCTGATCAGGTCACAAAAACACATAAAGGGGTAGAACACACAAATACCCAACTGAAACTAAAATAACAAATTCCATCCCCCCCCCATGATCCAGAGTGTTGGTATGACCCAATTTGCAGTTCTCCATATAGGCTTGCTCCGCCCCTTTTCCACCTCTTAGCTCATCAACCAAGACACTGGAGCAGCTGTCACTGAGGTAACTCAGAAAACAAAAAGATTAAATCATACATAACACTGTAAACTAAAATGTGAGCACTTATTTTTGAATACGGTATTATGTATTGTATAAATGAATTAATTCTAAACCAAAACCAGTTCTTTATTATCCTGTAAATTAAATCCTATATCTAAAGAAAGAAAAAATGTAAATGTAGTGTAATATTTAAACCTCTATTGTAACATTATTACCATTGTGTGGCTGTAACTGCAGCCATCACATGTAGGCTCCAAACCTTTGCAACTGTGAAATGAATAAGCAGTTAATTAAATGAATGGATGGAGTTATAGATAATTACAGATTCTGATGTTTAATCTGAATTGTTTATTTATTACTTTTGAAATGAGTTTTTATGCCAATTGATCATTCATCACAATAAGCTTCCTGTGTCATCATTTTTATTTATTCTATTCAGTTGTGTACAGTATCTTATTCTTATTCTCATCATCTTATCCTATTCCAGTGTTTTTTTTTTATTTTTGCTATGTAACTTTGCACTGTCCACTTTCTGCTATAACAAAACAAATTTCCCACGTGTGGGACTAATAAAGGTTATCTTATCAGATTTTAAGATGGGGCAATTCATCAGCTCTGTGCACCAGTGACCCAGTGCACTCATGGTGTCATAGCTTTGCTGTTCTAATAGAAGGCAACATATGCAACTTAACTTTAAATCAATAGCTCAGTAACTGCTCAGTCACACTAGGGCAGGGGTGTCCAACTCCAGGCCTCAAGGGCCGGTGTCCTGCAGGTTTTGGATAACATTCTGGGTCAACACACCTGAATCAAATGATTAGTTCATTACCAGCAATCTGGAAAACTTGAAGACATGTTGAGGAGGTCATTTAACCATTTAAATCAGCTGTGTTGGATCAAGGGCACGTCTAAACCTGCAGGACACTGGCCCTTGAGGCCTGGAGTTGGACACCCCTGTCCTAGGGTAAAAATAAGACAGCAACCCCCACGCAACTAAAACACTAGTGATTGTGTTCAATTTTTTCACATTGTGGGACTGATTGCAAGTATCTGTGATCTTTCACCAAATGTGGGGGACTTCCAGAAGTTTAGCATGCAACACCCTCAGCTTTGGCTGCCCACTTTTGATTGCAAAGTAACCCATCTACAAACAACTGCAGTCCAAGTCTGACTGACTGGCGAAGGTTTGCAAATGACTGCCATGTAATTTATAAACATGGATTGCGCAAGTCCGTTTGTGGTTATCATTTGTGACTTGTTTCTTTGCCATTGGGGATTCGACTCAGCTGGCTGCCAACTGGTTGCATTCTAGTTATATTCAAACATAAAAGCAAGGTTGCTGTCCTGAAGCAGCTGCGTCACTATTTGTGGAGAAATGTCTGAATTTATATTTCAGATCTACGA